TTTCATTCTTCAATAAATACTATACCTGCTCTGCTTTCTACTGGAACTATATTTACATTATGTTCTATTGCAATAGTCACCATCAATATGAAGAGAATATTCCTTCTGATGAAACTGTAAATAGTCTAATTACCAATTTATACTTTGTTAAAAAAGATCTCGTTGTTCTTGATTATTATAATTACACTCTCTCAAGTGATTCAACATATTTATAAAGGTTTCACAAAATTCCATTACTATTGTATTATTTGTTCCTTTATTTACTACATAAATATTTTCTTACATTGTTTTGGCTTTCTAATAGGTGGGTCTGGTATCCAAGACTGTTCAGATACTGGACCTCTTGTCCTTAAGTTATAGTCATAGGTACCAACAATTGGTGTGGGTTACGTTATTGTATAGTATTCTCCCTTACACCAGCGTCTGCTATTACTGGTGGACTTTGTATGCTTGTATTGGCTCTACTTACTCATGTTATGCCTTGTGGTGTGGGTTATGTTATTGTATAGTATTCTCCCTTACACCAGTGCGCTATTACTGGTGGACTTTGTATGCTTGTATTACTTGGTTTGGCTTTACTTACTCATGTTATGCCTTCGTTTGTGTATGTACTCTGATTCCCAGCTTGGCCTGCACTTACTATTGTGACCTTAGTGTCAATAATTCCACCATCATTGGATTTAATGTAACCATATTGTAATTCTCTCTCATTGTTGCTCTTAAATTTCTTATCTTTCATATCTCCTTGAGAGTTTGTTTAATGGCCTGGCTCTTTAGATAGTTTTTGTATTCACATGGCTTAGTTTCTTTAACTTGATGATGTGCGCTAACTGTGTATTTTCCCATATGTTTCTTGTATTATAAAATTTACTGGACTCATTTGTTTGATTATTTTAAATGGGCCTTTCCATAGCTCATCTAGCTTCTTAACACTTCCCTTTTTTAAAAGTGGGGGTAAATAACAATACCTTGTCTTTTAGCTTAATTTTGTAAACTTTTTTTATCAACCAGTTTTTCCTCTGTTTTGGGCTGTCTTAGTTAAACCTTCCTTTGCTATCTCAAATGCCATCTGTGTTCTTTGCAACATTTCTGCTTTATAATCCTCATCTAATGCATAATCAACTTTCCTTTCAGCTACTATTACTTGGGTTGACAACATTACATCTCTACCATGTAATAAGGAGAAAGGACTTTCTTGAGTGAATTCATTTGCTGTGCTTCTGTAAGCTAATAATAACAACACAACCTACTTGTGGTATGTTTTTCTGATCTGGTTCACAGTATTGCAGTAACATATCTAACAAATTTCTGTTGAATCTTTCTAAGAATCCAGATGGATGGTATGTGATTGTTTCTATTTTCTTTACACCTAATGATTCTTATATTTCTTTCATAAATTTTGAAATGAAATTTGTACATCTATCTGTCAATAGCTAGTGTGGTAATCCATGTTGAGCTACAATCTGACTTAC